TTTTAATACCTTTCTATTCATGGATTGTGGAGGGGTCAGGAAGTAGTGAGGGCCTTGCAAGATAACTTTTTAAAAAGTATATATTAACATGCCACACATACATGCATCATGACGCCCTTCTGGAAAGTCAACATTTTCAGATTAACCAGTAGAAAGTTTATTTTTAAGCTTTTTTTTTTAGTGCTCTGTGAAACTCTTCCTGAGAGGGTCGTAACAATGACCGCTCCCAAAACATATGCCAGAGATTCTCTTATAGGTTCATGCAATTCTCATGACATATTACTGACCTGTAGACATGATAACAGATCATCGCAACAACCTTTACCTTAAACTTTTTCAAACCATCAACCTTTAAAACAATCACAGGATGCATGCCTTCACCTGTGCACACCTGTGCTGACTGCAGCAGTAATTAGTGTCTCTGTGTGTCACTGCACCCTGAAGCAGACGCAAGCTGATACGTGTAGGTGTATTTTAAATGTTCAGACCCATGAATTAAAGGCCTTTTGAACTTTTCAAACCATCCTGAGTGCCTGAATCAGGATCATTAAAACCTATGATTTGCTGGTTTTAAGTTTTCCTTCACCATTTCTTTTTTTAAACAATCCCTCCTTTAACGTCTACATAACGCACTAGTATCAGATTTGTAACATGTTTTGGGTTGCATATCATTTGTTTTGCATATCACAGATACATTTTTGACTGCTTGGTAACTGGTGAAGACTATACAGTACAAGCATGCTCTAAGGCTGGGTATTTCCCCACAATGCCAATACACAATATGTACCACAACACAAGGGGCCACGACACGATACACATCGTGATATACATTGATTTTGGATAATGATCCCAGAGCTATGGTGTTATTGTGAACTGCACCATAAGTCAATTGTCTTTCAAAACTGACATCTTTGCAGCCACATTGATTCTGTAAGACCTGCATCGCTGCATGTACTTGCAAGGAGCACATGTAATATATCGCCGACCGTATGGATTTTTTGAGCACAGCCCTGATATGCTCGTACTCTGCTGAATGACAGTTGCCAGTGAGAGTTGTCAGAAATGTTTTTTTTTTTTTTCAAAGTGGTTAAAAAGTGCTGAGGAGTTACTGACCTTGTTGTGAACGAGTGTGAGTCTCAGGTCAGGTTTTATCACAGCGTAGGCCATCAGCAGGTCCTGCACTTTCTTCAGCTCCTCCTTGCACTTTTTGGTCGAGGAATAGTACTGACGTCTCACCGGAAGATTCTTGAAAAGCTTCAGGACACTCACTGTGGTGCCTGGGAAACACAAGGAGTCGATTTGTGAAGCGGCTTTTGATGCAGACTTTTCTTTTTCTGCAACAAGGACGAAGGATGATGAACTTTTCGTGCAATAAGTGCTGGGTTCTTTAGGCCGTTACAGGACAGTGGACAGAGTCTGAAATCAGAGAGAGTGGGGAGTGATATGCAGCAAAAGAGCTGTCGGTGGGATTCGAACCCGGGCTGCCTGCTTTGAGGACTGCAGCCTCTGTACGTGGGGCGTGAAAACTAACCACTAGCCCACTAGTATCCCATGTTTCCACTGGGAACAGTCTTACATCATCAAAACTTTTTCTCAACTTGTACATCAACAGATTAAATATTTCAGGCCCAATGACCTTTTTCACTGACGCGCCCTTTTTTCATTGTACGTATAATTCCTCTCTTTCTTTCCCCCCAGCGGCAATTTTTCTGCCAGAGAATCAAACCTCTCTTCATGATCTGAGCAAACAGAATGACCCAATAATGTACGAGTTCCTTCATATTCTCAGCGCATCAGACCAAACCTCGGGTTAAGAGTCGTCCATTGTGCCAATCAGATGAACACAGGTTTTTTTGTTAAGCAGCATATAAATGAAACTACTGTGCACAGTTTGCTTTATCCATGTCAAAAACTGTGACGATCCACCTTTTAATTTGATCAAACATGCAGTGCTCACTATCATGCTGATTTAATAACTCATGCCTTGCCTTGGCCAAAGTGAGACGGCTTCTGAGAAACAACCCCTCCCGTGAAGTTAAGGGTGTACTGAGTGCTGATGTCGTCCTCTGCTGTCTTTGTGATGACAGACACCTGAAGGGAACAATAACACCAACCATTAATGTTTCAAAAACTATGGAACAATACTTAATCGCCCCGGTCTTTCACTCCTTCTCACCTCTGCCACTGCACAGATGGAGCCCAGCGCCTCTCCTCTGAAGCCATACGTCTCCAGACGCTCCAGGTCGTCGTGACTGCAGATCTTCGAGGTGAAATGTCTCACAGCCATCACAGGAGCGTCTGCAGCTTTGATTCCATGTCCGTTATCGCGCACTTCAATCCGGTCAAAACCATAGTTCTCCTGCAGTGGGAAATTCACTTATGAATGTATTAATGTAAGCACGCATAAGCAGTAACAAACTAAAACAATCATCAAAGTCTGTGGGTAGACTGGTTAGTCTTTTCAAAAGAACTGGAGATGCTAAATAATATAAAGGACGTATATTAAGTAGTTGTCATCATACATTTGACTAGAGGATGTTAATGCTATCCAAGTTACAGTACAGTCATTTTGAGGTTTATCTCTAGAAGAATCTTTAGTTTATGTTTTAATAACATACCAGTTTGATGTCAATGCTTGAAGCTCCAGCATCCAGGGAGTTTTCCATCAACTCTTTGACAACATTGAGCACAGATGTGATGACCTGGGAGCTAGACAGCAACCGCACAGTATCCGGAGGAAGCTGCTTCATGGTTGAAGACACCTGGTGAAGAAATGACTTTGCTTTGTTTTAGGTTGGGACTTACAGAGTTACAGAGTCAGACAACTTCAGAAATGCTGATGTTTTTAATGCCATATGTGGTTACACGAAATGTGGTGGGTAAACATGACTGCAAAGTGTCAAGTAGGTATGTTTAGGTTGTTGGACTTTACTAACATTAGCTAACTCCTCTGCACCCCCTTCTGAGATAGTCAGACTCGCTTAGCTTACATTTAAAACCCCAAAATACCCGTAAACTATCTTCTCGTCGTTACAAAATCTTGTCGAGATGAATGTTTTACGTGGAAAAGTCTTAAATAGCATGGTTAAATACTGACCTGAGCTAAGCTTTAAGACTGTAGCCTCTGTGTAATCTTTCATAAACAACACACGGGCAGCACGCCGGAAACGCGCGGATTTCCCGCCCCCTTCGCTGCACGCTTATTGGCTAGAAGGGACAAGAGGGCGGGGTCAGTAGTAAGCAGGAAGGAAGTTTTCCCTGAGTAATGTCTCACAGGCACAACGTTTTGTCAGGCTAATAAAAGTGCCAGTGCTTTTGTCACAACTAACACAAACACTTTAGGCTCCAACTAACCTTGAATACATACTTAGGCTATTTAATACACATTTTTGTAGGTGATTGTGTGTGCTGATCAGCTTTCTGGTCGGTTGGACAAACACAATCTGAGAAGACTAAACAATATATTTATTTAATTTTTACTTTTATTTTTATTGAGAAACAGTGACCACACAGTTACATAAAATATTGCCACGAAAAGACAAAGCAAACAACAACCAGCAAAACATGAAGAAAAAGAACAAACGTAATATAACAGAGGCATCAAAAACAAAACTAAAGTTAAGTAACATATTAAGGATTTCCAAAAAGGCTCAGTGTTTCTCTGCTTTTATATCTCCGTCCGATGAAATTCATTGACTTTTAAAATGCTTTAAAGATTGACTGGAATTACCAGGCAATTTACACTTTAAATTCAACTTTATCATCATAAAATTACAACCTTGTTCCCGTAATCTCTAATGTTTTCCTGTCCTTTTACTCCTTCGTAAAATGCAAGATTCAAAGATGTGGATAAAAGTTGTATTTTCTCTAACAATGAACATGAATCGATGTGTCATTTATTTTTTTAAGTGCTGCCTGAGAAGACAAAAGAAGGGGCGTCAGTTTCTTCCCTATCGACGTCACCACGTCTACTTCCGGTCGGGTCAGGCTTTCTGCGCTCGTGAACTGCACACATCAACAAGGAGATAACCCATTTCTCTCCGTAGCAGTTGTTTCTATAAATACCTTCACTGCTCGCTCTCCACCTGTGAGGTTCCAACGCTGGGTGTGTAAGTGCTACATGTTACATTTCTACTACGTCACGTCACTTCATGATTCCTGTGTGTTGTTAACGACGCTGAGCAACTTGTAGGTAGAAATAGTGGCGTGTGTGTGTGTGTGTGTGTGTGTGTGTGTGTGTGTGTGTGTGTGTGTGTGTGTGTGTGTGTGTGTGTGTGTGTGTGTGTGTGTGTGTGTGTGTGTGTGTGTGTGTGTGTGTGTGTGTGTGTGTGTGTGTGTGGCCCTTATGTTCTGATAACGAAAGCATGTTTACAAACCTACACAAGGCATCTGTGTTAGTTCATGTTCAAATATAGATTCAGCTCAGCTTTAAAGTAATCAGCAAGTAGACTAAGCCAGTGCAGTTGCGATTCTAGAGTCTGTGGGGGCCCTAGGCAAAAAAAATAATTTGGGGGCCCCCTCCAACAACTATTATATCTACCCGTGTCCCGGTGCTCTTCCTCTTTCTTCTTTCACTGCCGGACAGATATCTCCTCTTCATCTTCCTCAGTGATTTTCACTGATGAATGGAGTTATACATGAGATGCCAAGCAGGAGCAATGAGAGTGAGTGCCGTCACACAGATGGGGGCCCATTAGGGAGGTTTGCCACTGTCATCGCTAAATTTTGCACATTTTGAGCTACTGCTGTGGCTTAAAGGCCCCTGGGCCCCAAAGCAGCTCCTCTGAGCCAGTGACAGTGGTTCTAGCAGCAAAGCACTTATTATTTGTGTCAGAGTTGAGTCAGCTTTAGTCTAAGGACTGTCCCAAAGTAATGGATCTTATCATCATTTGTGTTACAGGGCAAATGTATCTGCTACTTCATGGTGCATCAGTACAGTATTACTCCAAATAAGTACCAGTATCCAAAATGAGTTATAGGTACGTAATAGACTTACTCTACTTATGGACAGCAACTTTGGCCTAATGCCAGGACAATGGTAATAATGTTATTGTGGTAGTATTTATTTATGGAGAAGTTTTCTTCACTCGCATGAAAAAGTTCTTCACACAAGTTAAAACAAATCACCTTAACCAACTAAGCAATTCAAGAAGACAAGCATGTAAACAAGGCACAGAAGAACAGGTGACAAACACTCATTCACTGTGGTGTATTTATTCAACTTCAGAAAATATCTTTATGTGAAATTGTAATCCTGCTGTTCGAATGTGAACGTTGACTTCTTCTTGTGCGGGCATGCAGCAGGCTTTAGGGATTTAACAGAAAGTCATCATTGCCTTAAATGGATGCAACTTAAGCCCTATTCGTTTTCTTTAATCGAGCCTGGCAGCTGAATATGTGCCAGAGGGCAAAGTGCACCATGAGATTGCACAATTTGTTTGTCTGTTATCACATTCAGACTTGCAGGAAGGACAAAGTGCTTAAACTGCACAACAGATATGCATCTTTTAAATAAAGGTATACTGTGACGGAAAGTACGCAGCATGCACTTTAGTACTGCAGCATATTGTTAGAGGTTGTGTCTTTGAAGAGTCACACGTTTGTAGGATTCAGAGCTTGTGTAACAGTTTTTATAATGTCGAGTTAAGTCAAGAAAAAGCTGCACAGCCGTGAGTGTTGGATTGTTAACTGTTGATGAACATGGAAAGTGCCATCTGTGTCTGCTTGGTGAGTAACAGATGAGTTAGATATCCTGATTCATTAACCCATTCGTGTCCACAGTTATGATTACACTCACAGCTGAGCAAAGAATAACTCAGTGGGCATTTATTAACGAGGGTACAGCCCCAGTTTTTGTTTTGGTTAAATAGTTAGTCACAGGGTTTTGCAGGTTTCTACATATTTTCACAGAAAAAAACCTTTGAATCAATCAGATAGAAATCTTCATAATTCTTCTCTCTCACACACACAGTCTAGACTCAAAAATAATAACAATAATGTTTTTCTTTTTCTTGGTTCAGTCACATTTTGCAGACCTTTGGGCCACCTCATTAGCTTTCTGCAGTGCAGGGTCTGCCTATGGTGTCGTATGGGGGGGGGGTTCAATCTTAAAGATAAGGATTTTGACCCTGACAGATTACAAAGGCATCCAATGCTGCTGAGAGAAAGTTTTTTTTTTTTTTTTGTCACATGTCGAAGATATCTTCCTTCAATAGGGTGTAGTGAAGGCAGGAAAACACGCAGATGTTGTCGAGAATATCAAAATGTGTTTTCTGTCCTCAGACCAGAATGAATGTGGGTGTGGCACACAGCGAGGTGAACCCAAATACTCGGGTCATGAACAGTCGGGGGATCTGGTTGACCTATGCACTCGGTGTTGGCATACTTCACATTGTGCTCTTGAGCATTCCTTTCTTCAGCGTGCCATTGGTGTGGACTCTCACCAACGTCATACACAACTTTGTAAGTTTAATTCTCACACTGTCACTGCTGCTCACAGGGCCAAACCGACAATCTAGACCAAAACGTCAAATGACTTTCAAATTAGTGAAACAAATAATTTACTCCAAGGGTGTAATCGAGGAGAATTTGAAAGTCAGTCCGAGCCTTGCCAGGCCCAATGAATCTTGCATGTGTTCCAAACAGCCTGGTGTCTGTTACCTTCAGCAGGGTCTGTTCTGTGTTTGCGTTTGTCATTTTGGCAGCCTGATGCATGACCTATTATGATAATTTCCTCTCTGCCCGTTAAGTCCGTAGCGAAAAAACTGACCTTTCATTGTTACCAGGCTGGCCTCAATAAAGAAACAAAGTCGATGTGTGTGACATCATGAAGTTGTGCAAGCTCGGAGCAGTTAACAAGGATTTTGTATCACGGCCAAATACGGAAAGGCTATTAACAGTAACCACGGAGGTCAACTATAGCCTTTTGTTTTCACACAATACAACAGCAGTGTGCTGATTATGACTTGGAAGAATGCCAGTAGTTTAAGTTGTATTACTTTTCCCTCTGTAATGCAGGTTTTCCATATAAAACTGCATTCCTGTGTTTTGACTTAGCGCCGTGTAATTGGAAGTGAGTGTCGACCCCAAGATAGAAAACGTGGTCATTAATCTGCGTCAACAACCTCTGCTCGATCTGCTTTAAATACCACACCTCTAGCAGCGGCCCAGAGTTAGTTGTTTTGATTCTCTCTGGTTAAACAGATGTTATCATCACAAATCATTAAACCAGTCTGCAAGTACTGTGTTCAATTTCCATTCATTGGAAACCTTATCCGAAAATTTGGATGATAACCTCAAATTCAAATGACTTGGGACACATTTTTGCCTGATCGGCGTTCCTTTTTATACTTTTTAAGAGAGCAAACAAAAACGTTCACCTCGTGCTCTCTGTATGAAATGTTCTTCTTCTTCCCAGGCGTCAGTATTGCGACAATGCAGCCTGTGTTTTTGTCTCCACAGGGAATGTATGTGTTCATGCATGCAGTGAAAGGCACGCCCTTTGAGACCCCTGACCAAGGAAAAGCCAGACTTCTTACACACTGGGAACAGCTGGACTACGGCGTTCAGTTCACTTCATCCAGAAAGTTCTTCACCATCTCTCCAATCATTCTGTACGTATGAGAAACGATACGATTCTGTCCTCACACTGATCGATTATTCAGAAAAGGACGCAAGCGATCAATCACATTCTTGTTTGTTCACACTGACGGCCAGATATCGAAAAGACACTTCTTCATCATCTTTAGAAAATATTGATAGCGGTTAATGTTGCGTGCACCATGTACAGAGGCTGTGGTCCTCTGCTGCATGTCTCCCCTTACTCATTTCTCCCAACATTTCCTTCTTATCTCTACAGCTGTCCATTCCAACAAAGGCAAAATGGCCCCAAAAAATATAACTTTAAAAAGTATTGTTAATGACAAATAGGCCACAGTCGTGATTATTATTGACCTTTTTAGCAAAATATGGCTATGACCTGGATCGTTTTTCAACTTCGATATCGCTGATTACTAAGAATGTAGTAAACGTGTAAGGCAACAGGGTCGTGAATAGACAGCTGCACACAATAATTGGGCTGAACACTTTTATAGCCGGGGTAGGCAACTTTGGAAACACTTAGTTTCTACCTAAGCTAATGCAGAAAAAAAAAAAAAGCAAAACAGCTCCTCCAAACTGCATGAATGTGCACTGCCTGCCCTCGATTTGTTAAATGAAACAGTTAGTCTAAAAACAACCATCATTGGGCACCGGTTGCCTAGTGTTTAGTGCGTGCGCCCCATGTACGGAGGCTGTAGTCCTCCAAGCGGACGGCCTGGGTTCGAATCCGACCTGTGGCTCCTGTTCTGCATGTCATTCCCCCACTCTCTCTCTCTCCCAGATTTCTGACTCTATCCACAGATCTATCTCTCCATTGAAGGCACAAAAAGCCCAAAAATCAACCTTAAAAAATAAATAAGAACAATCATAGACTTTATCGTTAATAATTCTGGCCGTCACACATAATGTAGTTATCCTGATTGATCTATTGTCAACGTTGAACAATCATAGACACTAAAACAATGATATTTAATCAGTTGTTCTGCACTGTTTGTTTCCCTGCCTTGACAAATGTAACGGTTTATCGTTGAATCTTATCCATCTCTTTTTGCTCCTCAGATACTTCTTGGCAAGTTTCTACACAAAGTACGACACGACACACTTCATCATAAACACGGCTTCGCTTTTGAGCGTCTTAATCCCGAAGCTGCCGCAGCTACACGGAGTGAGACTTTTCGGTATTAACAAGTATTGAGTTGTTGTAGATGCTGCGCCTCAAGTCCTGCGTAGCACCTAACCAAGAAGTTGTACAGTTTGTGTAAAAGTCACTGTTGTTGTTTAGATATATCAGGGTTAAGATAAGATGTTTCAAAAAAAACAGGAGTATGTTTGTAGGTGACAGGATGCCATATGCATTACTAACTTATGTGAATATTTAATGATGTATTTTTGGCCTGCGCAGACCTGGGCTGGCCCAGGCGTCGCTGAGGCTTTTGTTTGAGTTTATTTCTGTCTTTCCCTCCAATTCTCATGGCAACACAATTTGTGAGTACAAGTCCGTTTGTAGCCACAAAGATGTCCCAAATGTATTTTTCAAAGATGTTTACTTGTCAACAGTGATTCGGTGTCAATCGGCACGCTCTCATTTTGTAATGGGTGTCAAATGTGTTCATGCTGAGTGGAAAGTAGAATCATTTCCTGTTTTGCATGATGTCCTCAGTGTGTGAATCATTTCTTATTTGTATGTCAATCAGAAAAGGGCAGGCTTTTTTCATTGTACAGTTTTTTTTTTTTTCTTTGTGTGAATGTTTTGTGTCCTGTATGTAGAAATGAGACAAATAATTCTTGTCAGATTAAGTGTTTACTCAGAGAGGTCTGCAGTGTCTGTGAAGAATTTATATTCATGTAGCTGCTCTCTTTAGATTATGGCTTTTTTTGTTGTTGCTATTATCAAGGCAGCTAGTCCTGCTTTGTTTGGCCATAGCTCATAGTACTCATGATATTTCTTGTTCTAAATCTTATTAAAATGTTGGTGCCCTCCGAGTGTTCCAACTCTTTTGCCTGTTCTTTGGGTTGCTCCTTCTGATGATGAGATTTAAGAGATGTTATGAACCTTTCAGGGACTTAAAACAAAGGACACAGTTAGTTTAGAAGATTCTCTCAGATTATCTGTGAATCTTTAAATGCTCTGGTTTAATAGTAACTACAGAGAATAATTTCACAGCCTGCTAAAAAAAAGACCTGAGACGTTCTCTTGATCAGAAAGCAGAGAGCTCCGCTGTCGCTACAGCTAACCTTTGACCTGAGCAGTAACCCAGCATTATTTGGAAAACATCCACTTACCCGAGTGTTTAACACATGCAAGGAAGAATAGCTGTAATGATTAAGTGTCTTAAACTGCACAGGGATGATCTGAAGCATGGAAAACAAATCAATAAGCATTACCTTTATCAACATAATACATCATTTACAACTTTTAGTATACAGCGTAGTTTGAAGATAAGACCTGGAAAGCTTTCCAACTCCCTGGATATTATCATATTAGGACTACAGATAAAAATCCTTAAAAAACCCCAAAAAAAAACAAGGGCACACACTGTGACTTAAATTAGTTTGAATCTGTGTTGGAGGCATACGGTTTGATGTAAACAAGGACAAAAGCTTCCTGTACAGAATCTGAATGAGTTAAAATGTTGTTAAACATTCACGTGCTAATAATCATCAACAAACTAAACCATTTTTAGAGTGTGTTTGTTATGAACTGTTAGTTATGTCCGGTTATTGTGGGTGGAAAGTGCTAACCGCTGTATGAGTGAAAACCTTAGATATTAAAAATAAATCGTCTCTGCAGCTGCTTTTTCGAGTAAGCCCAGCTGTTGCATCAGTTGTCTGAAGGTGGGAAACGTGTTCAGATGGCTGGCGCTATCTCTGTCTGTGTCGGTGTTGGAGGCATCTACACCTGCAGTTATACAGTAATCTATTGCTAATAATACTTTACTTATCTGCAGGGGGAGCCAGGTTCACATTTTACAGAAGTAGTCAACGCTGACCAGGTTCAGATCTGCAGCTGAAAGCAACGTGAAAATGGATTACAATTTAGCTTCAGTTATTTTTTGCATCTGTTATCACAAGACCGACCTTGTGCACTTCAAGGTGAAGCATTTCTAACTTTGTTGTAAAACAATAAAGGCTTTCTAATCTATTCTATTTCTATGAACTACAACAAAAACACTCAGCAGCTCTTCCTTAAAACATGATCCACGCTCTCCCTACAGGTGTACACATCCACTAATTACAATAACCACATGCATGTTTAAAACTTCATTTAAAAAAAAAAAAAAAAAACAATGCTTTATTCCTTCCTCACACATGATAACTACAACATGGTTACGGGCCTGCCGATGAAACAGATGCCTTTATTATCTACTTTCCTGCAAACTTTCTTTCATGACACGGTCGTCCAAACTCTTCAGATCCTCACACTGTTTACTCAGGACTCCTTTGTAAACCTCAAATCGATGGTTAAGGTCTTTCTGGGTGTGGATTTTATATTTGGTCCCCAACGCCCCGTCAGCAGAGGCAGTGCCATAGAAGACACGGCCGACTCTGGAGTGCACGAGCGCCATGGCACACATAACACAAGGTTCTCTGGTCACATAAAAGTCATACCCAGTGCATATGTAGGGCTGAGAGCTCGCCTCTGTGTCAGGATCTGTAGGGATAGGGTCTGAGTTTGGTGCTGGATTAAATGTACATGCAGGGTATCTGTCAAAAGGGTAACATCCTCCACCTTGACTCTGAGCCACCAGGTCGATGCAGACCATGACAGCATGGTGAAGAGGATGGTGACCTCTGCAGTCATGACCCACCGCAATGATTCTCTCCTCCACTGGGTCGACCACAACCGCACCCACTGCCTCCATGCCCAACTCGTGCCCTGCCTTCGCTGCAGTCAGAGCAGACAGCATGTACTCCCGCATGTGTGATTTCTGAGATGGACCGAAAAGCTCGCCTCTCAGGGCGACGGTCACCTGTTTGTCTTCATGAAAGGAGGTGGGCCAGTGTTTGCTCGCCAGCTCAAATTGGGGTCGGGTCAAAGGGGGACGCGCAGGGACCTTCACCACAAAAGGCTCACCCAATCCGTCACATTGAGGTCCGTCTGAGGGGAGCAGAGACCGGATGGTGACCGCCCTCGTGTCTGGAGCGTCACTGACGAGGCACACGAGGACTTCCAGAGGATGAGGACTTCCCTTCTCCTTCACCGCTCGCACCCTCTTGATGTGCTGCAGGCTGCTCAACGGGTAAAGACCGCTCAGCTCCCGGATCAGTCGAGATGTCTCTTTCTTGTTGACAATGGGTGCCGCAAACGCCTCTATTAGCTCGACGTCTTGTGATCGCTCATCTGACAGCACAGGATAAGCAACCCAGGAGTCGGAGTCACACTCCGAGCCTTTCCAGCGTTTCGTCTGTGGCTCCATTGTTCTGCTGTTCTCCTGTGAAAAATGAGTGCACGCCAAAGTCAAACAAAAATCAGGGCATGTTGACACCAGCGCTCAGGATGACAAAGACTTTCAGAAACTAAACCAACAGCTTCCATCCAGAAGACTTCTCTAAACTGATTTGCAATGATATATTCCTTTTGAAAAAAGTGACCCAACTGATTTATTTTAAACTTAAAACCTCCATAAATCATTCCTCCACACATACTCTGGTTAATACATGACACACTGGATGTGCTATTTATTGCAGTTTTCAGTCTCCTAATGGTTTATAATATTCAAGCAAGAAGTCTGGTGCAGGAGTATTTGTTATTATTCTCAATTCCTTATTCCTGAGGTTTCTGTCTTTGAGGCATTCACATATGAACGTGTCAGCATTATCAGTGTCTAAGTTAGGATTCATGCAAATACTCAATTCTGAGGCATTTGTTGGCATCTACACCTGACAGCTATTTCATTTCAATCATGGCCTACTTACCAAAAAAAAAAACTTGCAGATAAGCTAATTGTGGTTGAAAGTATCTGAATATGCACTCAGCAGTCAAACTCAATAACATTCAGAGTATCAGAGCCTAATTCAACCACTTTTTTAAAGCCGTGCTTGCACATTGTTTGCCTTTTCTTTGTAGCTCTTAAATAAAACTCAAAAATAAGTCGCACATAGGCAATAAAAAAAGAAAAACAGAAACATTTCATCACTATTTTATTGATGTAGTGCTGAAAAAAAACACGTTGATCGATCAAAAACGCAGACTCATGTTGAACGATTGAGAAGTGAAGAATCATTCAAAAAAAAAAGGAAACACAGAACATTTTCGTGGGGCTTGTTTGTGTTGATAATAAATTGAATACATTGATCAAAGATTTTTAAGACGTTTAAAGACACCATGATTCACCTCGGTCATTTGTTCCACAGATGTTTGACACAAAGATCTCCTGGAAACATGTAAGAGATAAATCTATCATTTTAACCATTCCTATTAAGAAATGCTTGATCATGTCCAGAGAAGCAGCACATCATTTTTTAAGAAAGCTTGTAGTGATCCAGTATCGACACATGTAAGATATCATTCAGCAGCACGGAGGAGACTCCCGCTGATTAAGCTCGATAGTATCATGACAAACACACCGTCTTGCTTCATTTCCTCCCCAGCAGAAGTTTGGTCTTGATAACTTTTGGCACATGTCGTATGGTCAGTGACACTCTGGTGCCTCTGGTCAGCGTCTCTCCCTGCAGAGCCCCCGCAGCAGACAGGTTCACCACCTTGTCTGTCAGCGTGTCTTGGGAGCGGGGCCGGATGCCGTGAAGGAGGCGCTGGTACATTTCATCCTGCAGGATCAGAAGACTACGAGGTTTCACCAGCAGCGAGAGGAGGAAGCGGTTCTCCTCTGTCTGCGGCGCACCGTCGTCCTCGCCGTCCTCCAGGCTGCTGATTGGCGCGTAGAAGTCAAGTAGGGTGTGAGAGCCCAGGCTGATGGTGGTGACGGTAGGGTGGTAGAGCGGGCCATCTTCATGCGGCATAATCCCCTCTCCTTGTTTATACTCGTTCACCAACACATGGTTGGCTGTTTTCCCGCTGAATGCGCCGAGAGAGGATATCTTCTCACAGTACGCCTGGAGCCAGTCGGGGAGCTTTTCTGCGAGCATACCTTTGGGATGTGGTAACCCTCCCCAGTTTTGAAGCCGTCTGCCCGACAGCTGAGTCCACTTGGTTTTTGGAGACTTGTACACCTGCTGAAGAAGGTAAGCCTCCTCATCCTCCGATATGAAATCTGGGACGTAACGCACCGTTGGCGGGGCATCGTCTACGATAAATTGCTTCAAATCCTCCAAATGACAAGCAGAGTGCTCCATGCCTCCTTCAGGAAAGTCAACATGAAATGCTCATTAAAACCCCAAGATTAAGAAAGTGCTGGCTAAACTCACTGCTGGTGGTTAAGAGGGGTTTCAAGTTTTACCACAGACCCTTTTGAGAAATGCAAAAGGAAAAACTAGGACTGACAAATCTACTGACCTCGAAGTTTAAAAGACATTTAACTAAGGAGGAGAGAACAACATAATAATCTGTGTAACAGCAGCAGTATGATCCGAGGCACTTCCGGGTTCATTGGTAGCTTCCTCAAACCTTTAAGTAAACATCCTCTTTATGACTCTATTACAAGACATACATGGAAGCTTTATATTCTAAATTATTATTAAGTCCACCATTGCCTGTAAAAGGCACACCTGTTTCATTTACTGCAGTTAAAAAGCCATTGTGCGACGGAATAACCCTGCTACATGCTAAACCGGAGCACGCATTTGACGTAATGGTCGCTTTAATGTTCTTGTGTTTTTTAAAAACTCCAACCTCAATTTATTTATCATGACATAAAAAAATGAAAATTATACATACATCGCCAAAGGAAGTTTTAAGCAGATGCAGGTTTTTTTTTTTTTATTGTTAGATTTTTTTTCTGTGGTTTCTATTTTTAATAATCCACCAGGTTCACTGATGATTCCGTGATATTCAAGATGAATGTCTGACATTTAAAACTAATTACAGTCAATTTAATTGTTATGTGAATCTTGAATCATAAAGGATTGGCCCTTTCGGTAAATGCACGAGCAGCTTAGCCAACGTCCTGACCAATTATTCAACTCTGTTCGCGCTTCACTGCGTGGATTGTCAAAAGTACCACATTTCTGCTACCCGTGAATGCAGCACAGCCTCCGTTATGGACACTGCTGAAGACGCGACAGTCCTGCAACTGTGAGACATGCACCAACACAAAGACTTATAAATTAGTGACAAACACTAGAAGTTACCTCTTTCAACCCCGATGAAAACACAGTTTCGTCAACGGGCGATTATCCACTCCTGTCCATGCTGTTCTGCTTGTGCAGCGGGAAATGTCGTCCCCTGTAAACAAAGCAACCACTTCCTGACATATGCTTGTTTTTCTGAAGCACTTTTCAAATATGGGTTTGGTACATGTCTATATTCAGTTTGTCTGGCATAAACAATGCTCTATTACTTACCCACATTTTTGATCATGTATTCTAGCTAGGTAAGGTACCGTATCAGTGGTAACAGACTTGTTTGAGCACGGAATTATTTACATGTGACGCAGCTTTGGAGCATTTGGTTGCAAAATGTCATAGGAATTTACCATCACGGGCTTTCTTCTTTGTGCGGTATTTAGTGTGTGTTTGTTTTTTTTTAATCTTCCTTAGTTTGTTATTGTGAAAGGAAATTTGGCGCTGGTTATATATTTGCTATATTTGTTTTGTTTTTAGATTTGAAAGTCAATGTGAACTAAGGTGAGGTCGCTTTAACCTGAAAAAAGTCACTCCTGTCTAACGTGTGAGGTTCAACACCATGTTCCCTACAAAAGTAAAAAATATTCAAAGGCTGCTGCAGTTCAGAAACACAGCTTGGTGCAGTCCTTCATTGGGGAGAGCAGCTTATTCCAGACTGGTTCTGGGCATTGAGACCAGCTGTGATGACACTGGAGCTGCTGTGCTGGACGAGACAGGGCACATCCTGGGAGAGTCTCTACATTCACAGACAGAAGTGCATCTCAGGTGAGCTGTGCCCCCATTATCTGTGTTATTGGTTGAAGCTTCTGCTCTGACGTGTCTTCTGTACTCTTGAACACTGAAGGTCTGGTGGGATCATCCCCCCGGTGGCCCAACAGCTCCATAGAGAACACATTGAGCGTGTGGTCCACGAAGCTTTGGAAAGGGGCAATGTGGACCCATGCCAGCTCTCGGCTGTAGCCGCCACGGTGAAGCCAGGCATGGCCCTGAGCCTCGGCATCGGTCTGGAGTTCAGTCGTAAGTTTGTGAGGCAGCACAACAAGCCCTTCATCCCCATCCACCACATGGAGGCCCACGCCCTGACTGTCAGGATGCTTCAACCTGTCCCCTTCCCGTTTCTGGTTCTGCTGGTTTCTGGCGGTCACTCGCTCCTCGCTGTGGCTCGAGGAGTTGACGACTTTCTCGTTCTTGGCCACAGTCTGGATGTAGCTCCAGGGGATGCTCTGGATAAAGTAGGATCTTTGGCTCTAACACAAGGTTCTGGCCTCACTGTTCATTGTGTGATAATAACCAAACAAAAAAGGTGTTTCTTTGTGTATTCACAGGTAGCAAGACGCTTGTCCCTCGTAAAACACCCGCAGTGCTCCACACTGAGTGGAGGACAAGCGATAGAGCTGTTGGCAAAGGATGGCGACAGGACAAGCATCGCTTTAACGACGCCCATGGGAAAAATCAATGACTGCTGCTTTTCTTTCACGGGGTTACGCAATCAAGTTACAATGATAATAAAGAAAAAAGAGGAAGAGGAAGGTATGAGAATACACACACAGTCTCAGAAACGGCCGCTATGATTCATGTACCTGTGATCAGAATCTTTTTTTTTTTTTATAGCAAACATTCTGACTAAAATAACACAAATGTAACAATATTTTACTGTGTTACTATTTCTTGCTGTGACAAGCACATTGAAGAATATCATTCTTTAAAAAAAAATGGAAAAGAATCTAGGTGAAAAAAAGCATGATTCAAGTTTTGCAGATTTGTGTGTGTAAAATCTGTCAGCTTAGTTTAACGTTTAATTCATATTTTCTATGCAAGTTAGAACCATGTGTGAAGACTCAGTGTGCGGCCTTCGTTTATTCATGAATACTCTATTTTTACGTTGTTGTTTTTTTTCAATGTCAGCGTTCATGTATGTGGACAGAAACCTTTGAAGAGCCTTGTGTCTTGAAAACTTCAGACACGTCTCCTCTGCTTGTACCTCTGCAGGTGTGGAAGAGGGGGCGCTGTTATCGTGTGTGAATGACATCGCAGCTGCCACGCAGCACACAGTCGCAACTCATCTAGCGAAGCGAACGCATCGGGCCATATTGTTCTGTAAGGCAAACAACCTGCTGACATCCAGCAACCCCACCCTGGTGAGTGTGTCACATCTTTGTATTTAAAATCTTATTTATTTAAAATGAGTTTATTGTAATGCAAAAAACTGACCCTTTAGAACAAGATGGATAGATAGATTTATTGTCCCAAATGGGATGTTCTCATTCATAGATACAGTTTCAGATAAGTTCCAATGGGCATGAAACATTACAGCACAAGGCACAGATGGCCTAGTGGTTAGGTTGTGCCACATGTACGGAGGTTATAGTCATAGGTTCAAGTCTGGCCAGTGGCTTCTTTCCTGCATGTTATTCCCCACTCTCTCTCTCCCTGGTTTCCTAATCTGTCCTTTGTCCTAAAGGCAAAGAGCCCAAGAAAAAATATCTTGGAAAAGAAAAACACAACACATACATATGACTAATTTTTACAGGCATGTCCCAAAACAGGTTTGGTGTTGAGTGCTACAGACAGGAAATAATAACCCCAGGCCTGTACTTTAAATCAGACTACAATGTGAGCATAGATTTAAAGATGTCCTCATTACCTCTCGGTCACAGGTGGTGTCTGGTGGAGTCGCCAGCAATCAGTACATCCGCAAAGCTTTGACGGTTATCACTGAGAGGGAAGGAGTGAGCCTGCTCTGCCCTCCTGCCAAATTCTGCACCGACAATGGAGTGATGATTGCATGGTGCGTTCACTGGCTATCAGTGAAACTAGAAATTGATTCTTAACAGGTGATTTGCCCCACTGTAGAGTTTGGTCCCAAGTAAAAAAAAAAAAAACTGATTTTATTTTAACCAGGAACGGTGTTGAACGCATGAGAGAAGAGAAAGGGATCCTGCCTCCAAATGTCGACGTCTGTTATGAGCCAAAGTAAGCAAACACTGAAAGAAATAGTTTTTAAAATGTACCTTGTCGGTTCAAGGAAATACCAACCAAACTGCTCTTGTTGTATTTGCTGCACTGCTGATTTAATCAACATTTGCTCATGTAAATTGTTGTTTTGCAGGGCGCCTCTGGGCGTTGACATGACAGCAGAGGTCAGGGCAGCGGGGATCCGGCTCCCGTCAGTCAAGATAACGATCCCCAACTGACTGTGTGGTTCCTACTGTAAAATATTGTCACTCCTTGATTTCAACATTTTGTATATACTATCTATTAGCAAAAATAAACAGCTATTTTTAATACATATTTTATCAGAAATCAAAGTGGTGGTTGTTTTAAGCTATTGACAGAAGGACTTTAGTGAGTAAAATTCATGTTATTTTTTGTTGTTTTTTGCAGCTTGGTTTGAAACAATAGAAGCAGAATTTCTGTCATTTTACAGAATGGATAGTTTCCACTTATAGAAAGTGGTGGAAAATATGAAACAACCCTGCAATCATAAATCACGAGTCCAACAGTTCTACAAAGGGGTTTTTACGCTTATATAAATGGGACCAGAAAAAAAAAAAAAGATTAGTTATTTCCTCCTGGTGAGTTCCTCGTGTTGTGATCAACACTTTGTATTCATGATTCTTTCTACATTCTCACCACACCGCAGCAACCTGAAAGCACCTACTTCCAATTATTTTTTTTTGGGCTTTTTGTGCCTTTAATGTAGAGATAGGACAGTGGATAGAGCCGGAATTCAGGGAGAAAGAGAGAGAGGGGAGCCACAGGCCGGATTTGAACCCGGGCCGCCCGCATGGAAGCATACAGCCACCACACATGGGGAGCGCGCACCAACCACTGCACCACCAGCGCCCCTACTTCCAATTATTTTATTTTATTTTTTAAAAGTCAACATTTCAAAAGTTGGAAAACTTGTCTGCAGTTTTTGAAAAATGTTGAGTTTGCCCCGACGGCAAAAGTAAAAATCAAACAGCACGCACATCCAAAAACTTGAGTACGCTACTGGGTGCTGGACAGAAAATATCCAAAGATAAAAAATAAAAAAAGACTACGTGCGCACAACAGAAGCTGCTCCAATTCAATGTTAATGGGGATTCTCACCACATGTAACTTTTCGGGCCCTCGCCCTTCATCAGACATGAACAAGTGAGGAGACAACGGCAAAAGTAAAACATTTTGAGGTAAATACTTGCACATTTGGTTGGGATAAGCACTGCCCTCTAGTGGTTAGGTTTTGTTATTGTACCCTCCACACACACACTGGTGGGAACTGCTACAGTAATGAACCCACTGACAACAAAATAAAACACATTTAGTCAGGAACAATCAATAAGAAAACATTGATGTCAGAGCATGTCATGTGCAATTATAACCAGATAAACACAACCACACTTGTCTCATCAGGTTTATCCTCTCTGACTTGATACTTTCACATTCAGAATGTTGAACATAAATGAAAATGCAAAAACTTTTTCTTATAGTATTTCGGCAGTAAACCATGAAATCAGTGGGGGTGTCAGTAAAGCAGAGTAATGCATCTAAAATGAGACACAGTATTGTTTTCCATGTTTTATTTATTGCATCATTTATCAGCTTGATACAGTGGTGGATAACAGATCAGCTGGATAAAGGTGAATGATAATAAACCACAAAAAAGATGCAAACAAAATGTGTAAACATGTCTGACAGGACACAAAGGAACGCCATGTTCTGTTCAACCTTCTCCGTCACAGACACATTATCTTTATTATTGGATTGTTATACTTGACCTTCTCTGTGAGGAGGAAAAAGAGAGTGATTACTTTTTTTTTCATTTTCATATAAATACACATCTATCTGTGGGTCTGTACACTCCTGTAATAATGCAGATTAAAGGGCAGGAAATTCACAGGAAAGACATTAAGTCACCGATTGTACCACATTGTGCAATTTTCTTTTCGTCTTTGTGCTGCAAGATTCAATTTGTGTCCAACAAAACACTTAAACTTACAAACATGAGGGAGAAATACATTCCAAATGCTAAAAAAAATGAGTGGCATTTTTACAAAAATCAAAGTTCTTCACAGGTGTACAAAACCTTCTGAATTGCATAGTTTGCTAC